TTTTTGTCCTTAAAAGGAAGTCGAGTCCCCACAATTACTGCGTTTCCACTATCGAAATTTAACCAGTGGTACACCCCAGACTTTTTAACCATCACCAAGCCTCCGGAGTTGAGGCGGACCATCCTGCTTTGTTTGTGAGGAGCGTTTCTCCACAAGTTTCAGTATGGCCCTATAATGGAAAAACCCCTATGGTGACTGTGTTAACAGATTGTTATATCACGTCAAGGTTATAATGTACACCCATGCACACACACTAACATTGTTTTATTTATTCAATCATCCCACTGTTACTGTTTGCTTTTCACTGACAGTTAAATACTTACTGCCTACAGTAAGTAACCACAGGCGGATGCCTTGACTAACCCCAGCTGGGGTTATATCATCATTTGTATAGGCTGTCTTTTTGTTCTCCTTCCCACTAGGTTTTTTGCCCCTCCCTTGGGCAGGTGTTTGGGGGTGAGGAATAGATTTCAAAAGACTGCTGCCCCCTGCCCGAAGCTGGAGTCATTTTACACCCAGCGGAGCAGACAGCCAACACAGGTTAGCCTGAAAAGGACTGTTTTCTGTGTAAGAGCAGAGAAATGACATGCATGTTATGATAGCAGCACATCCTGGAAACCACAGCTTTAGAAACTACGCAACCAACATGTACATGCTGTAAGTCATACACATTCATTATACTCTGAGTGTTTAATCAAGTAGAAACATTCACTACCTCTACCAGTCTCTCCCTTCTGTCACTTCCTTCTTTATGCATCTCTTCCCATTTCTCAAGTTTCTCTGTTACATTGTTGTTGCTGTTTCAGAGTGAAATTGTCAGTTTGATGTCGTTGTGCGGCAAAACTCAGAGGCAGATTGAAACTTGGTTCAGACTCCGCAGAAACCAAGACAGGCCGTGTCAAACCAAGAAGTTTGGTGAAGCAGCGTAAGTGCTCTCTCTCTCTCTCTCTACAACCCTTTCATTGTTCATGGGTGACTTCCTTCAAGAACACTTCCTTCACCCAGAATTGCTGCACACACCCTAAAATCAAACACGACTTTTTAAGACCTAAACACAGACAAAATAATATCATTCCCACAGTAGAACAAATGCTGATTTAACACAGGTGCATAACTATTTTTTATTCAAATAAAGTGATCAAATATCAAACAGATATGAACATGTATGCACAATACATAGGATAATGTGTTATATATCCTTTATAGCAAAAGCTTTTTTAGATGACAACTAGTGGTGTGACCACACAGTGTATGGGTGTGACAATAGAGTCAGGACAGCATGTGGAGCCTGTGGGTTTGGTAACTTGTAGGTCAAAGGACAATTATAATCACAGACACATTCTTATGAACATCTACATTACATACGTTACAGAAAATCCTACCTCAAGGCCGTTATATTGTTCATTTTATGTCAAACCTTTTCTAGAGAGGAGTTAATAAAATTTTGTGATCACTTCAGAGGCTGTGGTTTGTTTCTTGACAACCCACGTTTAAGACTTTTTAAGGATCCACAGGAATCCTGTCACCACCAGCTGCGAAATCCGCAGACTGAACTGAAGTTGATTGATTTTGCAAGACTGAAAAAAGAGAGAGGGCTTCATTGTAGACATGTTTATGTTTTTTAAAATGACTTTTGTTTCAGTGTTCAAAATTTCTGATCTCATATTTTATTTCTCAGTTGGAGGTTCTTTTTCTACCTCGTAGCCTTTGTGGCTGGATTGGCCTGCTTGATTGATGTGAGTTCAAAAAAGCTTTACAGTAATAATATAGAAGCAAAACACTACAACTGTTGCTAAAACATAACTTGTATTTAGTGAATCAAAGCTAATAAGTTACAGTTATTGGTGTCCTTTCTATTACTATAGGTGTCTTTATAAAATAGTCATCTTCTTTTCACTACAGAGACCCTGGTTCTGGGACCGCAGGGAGTGTTGGAGACAGTATCCAGAACAGGTGAAAGCACTACTTACATTGTTTGAGTAACAGGTTTCAGTGATGTCTTATGCAGAAGCTGTTAACTGTAACCTGATATGGATAGGGTTACTGAAACAGATCAAGTTTCTTTCAACAAGGATATGTAAAACAAACACAATATGGTCAGATGAATTAAAACGCTTCCTCATTCTTACCAAAGATAACAATGAAAAAATAACCTGTTTCATTTAGACTCAGTTCAGAGATATGATTAGGAACGGCACTGTTAAGAACAAATGAATGATCATATATTTTTATTTTTGCCACAGTTCCACCTTGCTCTTACTGTTTTCTTGTTGGCAAATTTTTGCTATGAAACCTGTGTTTTTATAGCTCTGTGTACTTTGATATTTAACTAATATGCTGTATTTGTTTAACTAAAACTTCATTTTAGGGCTGCAACTAAAGATTATTTTCATTATCATTTAATCCATGCATTATTTTCTTAATTAACTGACAAGCTGTGTGGTGTATTAAACTTTGGCCAGCCCAAAGGTATTCCATTTACATTCACAGAAGGCTTTAAAATTATTATGCATTCATATCTGAGATGCTATAACCAGTCTTGTATTTTATTTATTTGTTTGGCCTCTTTGATTAAAAATGATTTAAGGGATTAACTGATCTGTGGCCTATATTCTGACCTATCCATCCATGTGCCCTTTCCTAAACAAAGTGCTTTATCAAGAAACTTTAATGACACAGGTCTTAAATAATGTACAACTACAAAGTATAATTCCTAATCGGTACTTTGAGCTTTATTTAGGAAATGTCTCTGAACTCTCCATTGTTGGCTGGTAAAGTTCCATTTGTGTGCCACAAGTAAATGTTTGTGTTTTTAAATCACTTTTTATTGACTTATAAATTGCATTTCCCACACAGCCCATGGAGAGAGCTCATTACTGGTACTACATGCTGGAGCTGAGTTTCTATAACTCTCTCCTGCTCCGAATCTTTGTGGACATCAAGAGGAAGGTGAGGGCCTCAACATTTCATTTATTCATACTTCTAACACAGCTGTTTCCCCCCCAGTTCACAACACACAACACGTGCCCTTTAGACAAGTATGTAAGTGAAGGTGAGGAACATATTTTACATTTGATGGCTTGCACTAACTTCACTTCTGCTTCAAGCACAAACTACACTTAACACGTGGTTAATAAGTAACTTTAGAGCATGAATTTAAACTCTTTTGTGGAAATACGAAGGTCGATTTGTTTTAGTCTGTGTATATACTGTATATGTGTTTGCTTTGCTAGGATTTTAAAGAACAGGTGATCCACCATTTGGTCTGCATCCTTCTGCTCAGTTTCTCCTACAGTGCCAACTACATTCGCATAGGCCTGACTGAGTCCTACGAGCTATAAGCACTTCAACAGCCTGATGTGATATTTGTTTACCTGCATATTAAAACATGAGAAATGGGTTAAAATATATTTATATCTAAACTGGGTGTGTGAAAAAAATCAACACAACCATATATGAATTATGCTGATCACAATGCATGCAGTAACCCAGTCCTGTCTGGCATGGAGGTCCGCTTAGGACGACTCACTGTCATTATAACTGACAGTGAGTAGCTAGTAGCCTAACTTTTCCTAAGCACATCTTGGCTCAGTAACTCTTAGAATAATGCTTCAGTGGTGCTACCATGGAGATGGCTTTATTGTGTATACCGTTTGTTTGATTAAGTCTTATTTCTGCAGTCTGCTAAGATGTTCAGCTATGGCACTGGCTGGAGGAAGACGTGTAACACTCTATTTGTTCTGTTTGCTGTGATCTTCCTTGTGACTCGACTGGTGGTTTTCCCCAGCAAGTAAGTTCTCCTTTTGAGTTCTTTTTCCATTTTAGTCAACAATTTAACTACTCCATGTGGCACAACTCATTTGTAAGTCTATAATCTTTTCCAACTTGACTCAAATTATTTGATTATTTACAGAATCATCCATACCACCCTGGTACTGTCCATGGAGTTCTTTCAGCCGTTTGCGGGCTACTACTTTTTCAACATCCTGTTGATAGTGCTGCAGGTTCTTCACATCTTCTGGGCTGGATTAATCTTACGCATGGTCTGTAAGCTCCTGAAAGGCAAGGTGAGAATGAGGAACATTATTCATTCTATCATTTTTGAACTGAGGTAAGACTAGTTTTTCAGCTTTGTCATACATGTTAAACCTGTCTGCTTTCACCCTCAGTTGGAAAAAGATGAACGCAGTGACGAAGAGAGTGAGATTGAGGAGAAAGAAGAGGATAAAGGAGGAGATGAAAATGCAGATCTAGGAGATTATTGTTGGGATACAAGTAAAGACACCATAAATTCCAAACTCTCAGGACTGGCCAACACGTGTGTCCTAAATACCTTGACCAACCACAGGGCCTCTGCATCCAAAAGAATGCGTAAAGCTCAGTAAAGACTTGATTTTTGCACATTTTGCTCTGGTTTTGCTATTTCAAGGTTAAAACTGCAATATGGTATACATATGAAAAAATCATTTCATCACCCTCTATACTACAGGTCATTCATGCTGATGGCATCATACCTAGGGACTACACTTTTAATTGAGAGTGGAATCAGATAGATGACATTTTAGCTTTATATGTAGCATTGGCAGCACAGCAGAGCACAGTTTCACTTTTTCAATCCTGTGGGATATGGGCCCAGCACGCTGCTACACATTCTAGCTGGGACTTGAACCCACAATCCCTGACTTGGGATGCCAGTGCCTTGTTCAGTAGGTAAAATCCATGTTCAGTCATAGTTGCACTGGCATAATAATTCCTTTGAATTAAATTTTCCATAGACAGGGATGTTAGTGTTTGTGTGAGGGGATAATGAACGTGTTCCCCACCTACTGATGTTCATTTCCCCTACTGATGTTCATTCCAGCCTACACTAGAGACTGTTTTTACACAGTTTTTTATTCAGCAAGCTCACAAAGTAGATGCTTTAAAATTTTAAAAGCAACACATTTGCAAAAGAAAAGATGCAAACTAAGTAAACAAATCTATGTTCAAATATAGACAGAAGTGGCTGTTAAATACTGTAAAATGATAAAATTGTTATATAACATGCAATCAACATTTAAATGCTGAAAATAAAACCATCAATTGTACTCTTATATGTCTACCTCTGGTGATGATTTAAGACAATGAAGTTTTGATATGCTATTGTGTAGAAATGTTGTCATGTGTAGGTTAACGCAGGGTCAGTGATACAGTGAAAAGACTTGGATGAGAACAAACAAGTCTACTAATGAGTTGATCTTTCTACTTGTCCAACACATTTCATTGTATTGTTGACTCTTTGTTATCCTGCAGGACAAATTAAGTGAAATTTGAGTCATATTATTTTATTGACCACTTATTTAAATTAAAGCCTACTTGCACGGTCCATCACGTTATTCACCCCCGACACAGTAGACACAGCACTGCATGCCTTTATGAATCTCAGAGGTTAGATGATGATGATGGTTATTATTATTATTGTTGTTGTTGTAATATTGGGCATATTTAGGCTGTGAATCATGCTCCTAGTCTCCTGGTCTAGCTCCTCCAGTTCCACACTACCACCTGATGGCTCGTACTAGCATGACATTAATAGGCTGGATGCTATTCTCAAAGCTTTACTGTGAAGTTCACAGTCACGCAGCAGTAGCTGGTTTAAGTACTTGTAACATTCTCTCTCAACGCCTAATGATAACCTAATATTATGTAGTGATGGGAATTCCAGCTCTTTTAAGAGACATGGTTCTTATGGCTCGGCTCACTAAAAAGAGGGCTCTTTCGGCTCCCAGGTGGCTCCTCAGATTTTTTGTGGCTTAAATTAATTTATTACCAAAAATAATGTATAAATTACTAATGTAGAAAAAATACATTATATCAAATGTTTATTATCTATATGGCGTAGTATACCCAGAGTGCTACAAAAAATAAATTTTAAAGTACAGAAACAAATACCCATCTTAATTTTGCTAAAAGATCCAATCTCTGATTGTATGTATAAAATTTATAAAATTTTAACTATTTGAACATGAACATAGAAAAGCTTAGAGAACCACACAAAATATAAATGAAAATGTATAAAACAAAAAGAAAAAAGCAGCATCCAGGTAACAGTTTTAGCTAGTCTTTAGTGAAGACTGGCATCAAGAAAAACAGCTTCTTGTCTCTATCATGGCTAAAAGTAATCACACTGGTAAGCTTATGCAGATGTGACCACACCAGTGAACAGTAATAATCCCTATAGTTTATATAAGTGTGTGTGTATATTTAAATATATATTACCAAATTGTATTTTGGAACAGCAAAGTGTTTTCCCTATTTTACAGCTAGCCAACAATTTCAGTATA